TTCGGAAAATTGTAAACATTTCGGAAAATTGTAAAAATTTCTAAAAATCCCTGAAAATTGCAAAAATGCCTGGAAATCGCAAAAATAGCAAAAATTGCAGAAATAGCAAAAATTGCAAAAATTCCTGAAAATTGCAAAAATTCTTGAAAATTGCAAAAATTGCAAAAAATCCTGAAAATTGCAAAAATGCCTGAATATTGCAAAAACTGCAGAAATTCCTGAAAATTGCAGAATCGCTAAAATTCCTGAAAATTGCAAAATTCGCAAAAATGCCTGAAAATTGCAAAAATTGCAAAAATTCCTAAAAACTGCAAAAATTCCTGAAAATTTCAGAAATAGCAAAACTTGCAAAATTTCCTGGAAATTGCAAAAATTCCTGAAAATTGCAAAAATTGCAAAAATTTCTGAAAATGGCAAAAATTGCAAAAATTTCTGAAAATTGCAGAAATTGCAAAAATTGCAAAAAATCCTGAAAATTGCAAAAATTCCTAAAAACTGCAAAAATTCCTGAAATTTGCAGAAATAACAAAAATGCCTGGAAATTGCAAAAATTGCAAAAATTCCTGAAAATTGCAGAAATAGCAAAAATTGCAAAATTTCCTGGAAAATTGCAAAAATTCCTGAAAATTGCAAAAATTGCAAAATTTTCTGAAAATTGCAGAAATTCCTGGAAATTGCAAGAATTCCTGAAAATTGCAAAAATTCCGGAAAATTGTAAAAATTTCTAAAAATTCCTGAAAATTGCAAAAATCGCAAAAATGCCTGAAAATTGCAAAAATCGCAATAATGCCTGAAAATTGCAGAACTAGCAAAAATTGCAAAAATTCCTGAAAATTGCAAAAATTCCGGAAAATTGCAAAAATCGCAAAAATTCCTGAAAATTGCAAAAATCGCTAAAATTCCTGAAAATTGCAAAAATTCTGGAAAATTGTAAAAATGTCTGAAAATTGCAAAAATCGCAAAAATTCCTGAAAATTACAAAAATTGCAAAAATTGCAAAAATTCTTGAAAATTGCAACAATGCAATTTTTCCGATTTTCAGGCATTTTTGCAATTTTTGCTATTTCTGCAATTTTCAGGAATTTTTGCGATTTTTGCAATTTTCAGGCATTTTTGCGATTTCTTGCAATTTTCAGGAATATTTTAGTAATTTTAACAATTTTCTGGAATTTTCGCAATTATTGCAATTCTCAGGAATTTTTACAATTTTCCAGAATTTTTGCAATTTTTGCAATTTCTGCAATTTTCAGGAATTTTTACAATTTTCAGGAATTTTTGCAAATATCTGCAATTGTTATTGAATTTCTAAAGTTCACCATGTATATGAATACTAAACTTATTTTCGTCTCCACATTCTCACGTTTCACTATTTGTGAAAAATATCGGCCACTATGCGAATGTAAGTGAACAAGTCTTTTCAACTCTTCATGCAAATGGTAAGTTCCTGAATTAATATAACTATGACACCCGTCATGATAGGAAACTGAATTTTCAGGACAGCGTTGAGGAGCGAATGATGAATATATTGAAAAATAATTAGGGAATTTCACCGAGTTAATCATGAATAACAGGGTGATTTCAAAAAACACGATTTTTTGTCATTTTCATCATCGAAAATCTTCATGATCACCCTATAATCTCAACGAAATCATGTTCATACGGTATCAGCTATCTTGGGAGGTTAACAATTCACTCGACTATACAGGATGTGTATGATTAAATCGGTCTTAGGTGTCACCAATTTTTCAAATCACCCTGTATGAAATGTATGAATTGTGATTCATGATGGAATGAGAATAGTATATTGCATGCCTAAATTATTTTTTCGATATTTCATTATTACATCAAATTTTCAGACATCACTGAAATGTTTATCATCTGAACCATCTGAATTATGTTGAGTAATATGGAGGTTCGTTAATGATATGAGCGGAGAGAATTGTACTTGGCATCTTTGAATTTCGAGAAAATAATTAAGTGAAAAATACCGATTTGTAACTTCAACGCCCTGTATCTCAGAATCTGTTCATCAAGGAACTTTACGATTCTGCAGGTTCAATCAGTTCATCGAATTCTACAACATACTGAAAATTCAGAAAATTTCACCGAGAACCATTTTACGTACTGAAAGTGCGGGGTCCTTTGATCTTACGGAAAAAAGAGAAAATACGTAAATATTAATTTTATAAAAACTGCACAGTGAGATAAGAATCTCAATATAGGAAACTTCCCCATCTCAATAGGGATTTCATCAGTATACAGGTTCGCTAATATCTATGGAAACAGGTGAATATCTCGGTAACCTATTGTTAGATTTTTTTGAATTCATGTACAGTGTGATTTCAAAACGTGGAGGATTTGAAAATGTTTAAAGCCACTTTTTCAGTTATTCCGGATTTGTTTGTAACTTCCTCATTCTGAATAAAACACCCTGTACTTTATTGGATTTTCAGATTTTCCGTGAAGAGCTGATTCCATCGATCTATCACACTTTGGGTCTAGCGGAAATGATTTCATAGGTATAGGGTGTTTAAAATCTAGATTTTTCAACTTCAGGATTTTTCTGTGTCGAAACATTTAATTGGAACATATACAGAGGGTCTCGAAAACGAAGCCAGTTAGGACACATGTTTATATGAACTTTATTTCTTAAAATGTCACAAGGAATCACCTCTTGAATTTTTTCGGTGTCATTCAGATACACCCTGTATACACTAGTTCAAAATATTTATTTCTGTAGCTTCATTATGCATCCAATTGAAACCAATTTTCTTCTTGAGTCATGTCGAATATACGTGAATGATGAATGTTATATTTATTCAACTTTCTACAATTCAGAGAATAAAATCATGAATGATTCATTTTATTCAAAAATTTGTTTATTTCCTAGAAATTCCATAATAATATTTTCGTAGTTATATTAGGTATACATACAAAGTAGCCTTGATGAGTCCATTTTTTCAACAGGCACGTTTTACTATACACTGACGTCACTTTAAAAGGATGGTCTTAAAAGAGAATGATAGTATGTGAAGGTTAATGTAAGCAAAACTATAAACTACTGAAGTGTTATTATTCGCATATAGAACAAATATGTCAGTATTATACAGTGTTTATTCAACTAAAAGCGTTCCAATGTCCTAAAGGAATATCCCATTCATTTCCAGTTATTATTTGTTCGCGAAATGAGCTACTGTATGAATATAGCTGGGAAATATTGATTCTCGAATTTAAAAGACATCTGCAGGGTGTTCTTTAAGACTATCAATCACCAATCAGACTGATGAGTTGTGCCATCATGAGTGATCACAAAAAACCAATTGATACCTCCACGATTTCAACACACTGTATCTCTATAACGAAGCAAGTAAGGTCACATATCATGTGATCCCTCTCTTCCTACTCCCCAGAAATCAGAACCATCACCTTTGAAACAATAGGTGTAGTGGCCATCTGAATTTCTGGACCTGAACCCACTTGACCAATTTTTTTTTTCTCGCGATTTTCAGAGCGCCACGTCTCAGTCGTATATAGAACAAATATGTCAGTATTACACAGTGTTTATTTAACTAAAAGCGTTCCATTGTCCTATAGGAATATTCCATCAGTTATTATTTGTTCGAAATGAGCTATTGTATATGAATATATCTGGGAAATATTGATTTTTCAATTTCAATGAAATCTTCAGGGTATTCTTCAAGACTCTATCAATCACCAATCAGACTGATGAGTTTTGCCATCATGAGTGATCATAAAAACAAAAAAATACTTCCACGATTTGAACACACTGTATATTTACAGGGTGTTGCGAAACTCGACCGACAACGCTTGACAGGTGAGCCCTTGTGATTTCATAATCACTGAGATAGGAACATACGGGGCCTTCACGCGTTCAGTTCTCGAGATACAGGCGTTGAAGTTGAGAAATTATAATTGTTTTTTCGCAATATCTCAAGAACAATTGATTATAATGCATTTGATTTCATTATATGGTTTCATCTTTCAATGGTTAATTTTTTGACCAGAAAGACATTCCGAGAATTTTATCCAGAGGTGCGCTACAGAGGGTTGTGATAACTTTTCCTCCCATATTTTCTACGCCACTGATAAAATTTCGATTATTTCCAATTTCTCGAATTGATTGTTCAATTATGTTGAAAAAATGCATCACCTTCAACTGAGCTAAAATGAACAGTTATCGAGATATTTGACCCAAAACAGAAGTTTGCATGTAATTTTTCATCTTCCTCAGTAGTACAAAATTTTAAAAAAATTTGGTTGTCTCTTTATACGTGGAATAACTATTACTGTTCAGCTACAGAATGAAATCTGATACAATCTACTCAACACCAGAAAAATATCTTTGCCTTTACCTTCACCTGAATAGTATCTTATCTACTCAACACCAGAAACATATTATTATTACTATGCAATCTTCTATTTTGGGTCGAATATCTTGAAAACTGTTTGTTTCAGCTCAGTTGAAAGTGATGAATTTTTTGAACAAAATTGAACAATGAATTCGTGGAATTTGAAATAATTGAAATTTAATCAGTGACGTAGAAAATATGGGAGGAAAAGTTGCCACAACCCCCTGTAAGGCACCACTGGATAAAATGTCCGGAATGGCTTCCTGGTCAAAAAATGAACCATTCAAAGATGAAACCATATATACAGAATGCAGTATATTCAATATTTCTTGAGATATTGCGAAACAACTATTTTTATTTCTTAACTTAAACGCCCTGTATCTCGAGAACTGAACACTTGAAGACCGTATGTCCCTATCTCAGTGATTATGAAATCACGAGGATCGAGCTTTATCGGGCGAATTCCGGAACACCCTGTATAACGAAGCAAGTAAGGTCACATATATAATCTCTCTCTTCCTACTCCCCAGAAATCAGAGTCATCACCTTTGAAAAAATAGGGGTAGTGGCCAGCTGAATTTCCGGACCTGAACCCACTTGATCAAATTTTTTTGTTGTTGCGATTTTCAGAGTGCCACGTCTCAATCGAAGCACGCAGCGCGATTTTTGCGGTTAGCGATGGCCAGCATTATGGACATTCTCAAGATCAAGCCCTTCGTCGAAGTGACTGTGGGGCAGCTGCTGTGGGGTTACGAGGACCCGCTGCTGAAGCTGGCTAAGGACGTGGTGCCCAAAGAACAGAAGCTGCCCTACGAGGAGTTCGGGTTGATGTACAAGGTAAAATATGTATAAGAAAAGTAGACAGAAAACTAGTTTTTCTCCAAATGACATGAGTGGCTTTTTGATAACACTCCACACTCCACACTTTTACTGCCGCTCGCTTTGCTCGTACGTTAAAATATCCATCATTATTCACCCTCATCAATTTGACACTAGTTGGTTGAATAACCATTTACTCATGCGTTTTATAGAAAAATGGAACGTCACCAGACATCGTCACAGTTTTCACTGGAGCCAACGATATCACTAAGTACGGTCTCATCCAAAATGTCAATGGAAGGAGCAACTTGTCCCATTACACCTCTGACGAATGCAACAGCATGGAAGCCTCTGACGGGTCCATATTCCCGCCGCACATGAACAAAAACACCACCCTGTACATTTATGACAAGGATCTTTGTAGGAGGTTGCCTTTGATGTGAGTGAAATAAAACTTTGATTTTTCTTATGTGACAAAAAACCTGGACAGGTCGGTTTGATTTGAGGTGTGTGACAGTGTGTTTCAATTTAAACCGAAGAATTTTGACAGATTAGATATAGCTTTTTCGATTTCTTGAAGAAGAGGTAACAACATAAGGTCCTCAAGTAATATGTTTTAGAGATACAGTGTGCGTTGAAGATGAGAAGTAAAAATAGTTTTTTTCGGAATAACTTTCAATCGTTTGAATATGTTTTGTTCAGATTTTGTAAATGATTTCTTTCTGAAACCTTCTTCATTTCATTCAATGACTAGTCCATTTTTTTTTCATTTTCACGATGCCACAGATGGAATTATGATTATTTTCCATTTTTCGAACTCTCTGTTCAATTTTGTTGGATAACACTAAGGTTTGTTAATCTGTGACACTACCTTCAACTTAGCTAAAATGAAAAAATTCTGGAACATTTGACTCTAAATATAAAAGAATGAAAACTGAGAAGTACCCATATATATATATAATCTACTTACCATTCAGAAAAAAATTTGGAGAAATAATCCACTATGCAGATGAAAAATGCTTAGGCAAGATTTTTATTCAAGGTCAAATCAGATTGATTGAAGAAAATATTAATTTTATCAATGACGTAAAAAATTTGGTGGGAATCGATGCTCACTATCGGGAGTATCAGGACACAATGTATACAGGGTGTATCAATATAACACCGAAAAAATTCAAGAGGTGATTCCTTGTCATATTTAAGGAAATAAAGTTCATATAAACATGTATCCTGACTTGCTTTGTCTTCGAGATACAGAGGGTATCAATATTTCAATGAAAAATCGTTTTTTTATTCATTACTCCGTTGTCTTTTCATGAATTTCAATAAAACGTTGTGGTTTTGTTAATTTTTGCAACTTTTTTATCCAGCTTCGGACATCTTTTCAGGGCTCCAATTATCATCAAACCAAATCCCAAGATACTTTTTCTCATTAGTTTGTTTCAAAGATTCATTTTTAATTCTGAGATTTCAATTTATATGTTGTTTATTTTTTTGGTGAGAACTCATGTATTCAGTTTTATCAGTATTTATTGATGAAAAGTTTGAGTGCAGCCACTTTTCAAATTTCATCAAGTCTCTGTTTATTATATTTTCTAAAATGATAGGACTCATATTTTCAAATCAAAGTACCGTATCGTCTGCATTAATAGGGTAATTACTTTCTGTCTCAATTTTCGTGATATTTTGAACACATAATAAATATAAGATTGGTCCTAAAACATATCCTTGAGGGACACCTTTAGTCATCGGTAGTCTATGAGACTCTGTTAGTAGATTTGGTACTGATTGTCCTATTTTGAAGATACGAATCTAAAAGGTTCCTCATCATGCCTCTGAGTCCCATTGATTCTAAATTTTCCGAAAGTATTATGTGTCTATATACTGTATCGAAAGTTTTTTGAGATCAACAAGAATTGCTATTTTAAAATTTCCGGTATCAAGTCCTTTTTGTATTGCTTGTATTAATTGTAATATTGCCGCTTGTGTGCCACTATTTTCTTGAAAACCAAATTGATTTATGCAATTTTTCAGTTACCAGAAAGAAGTGACTGGTAGCAATGATGTGCCAGGCTTCAGATTCTCCCCACCAAAATCAGTGTTCGCTGATATGGACGAAATGCCAGACAACGCCTGTTTCTGTCCGCAAGGACCTCCATGTGCCCCATCTGGGTTTTTCAACGTCTCATTATGCCAATACGGTACGTATGACGTGATAACACCCGTAAAATCGTCTACTTAGCTTATTTGATAGGTTGAAATATGGTTTCGCGAGAAGAAGACCAAGACTAATCAGTCTTGGTCTTCGACTCGAAAAATTAATGTAGCCTTGGTCTTGATTGATTGATTGATTGATTGATTGATTGATCAATGGCAGAATGATCAGTCAGGGTTTGAAGCCCAAAACACTGCAGCCTTTGGGCCTATTGTATTCCTGATCATGCTGTTGACTTAGGTGAACAGGTTCGCTACCTTGATGAGGTTTAGCAGCCTCTTCACCAAATCATTCTTTGAAAATGCCTCTTGAGAGTTTACTGCTCCCAGAAGGTTGTATCTCCAACGCGCTAGTGCTTCGCACTCCAATATCACATGGGTGGCAGTTTCCTCCTCTTTCTCATTGCATAGTCTGCATATGGGTTCGTCTGTATGGATGCCCATTTGATGCATATGTTTCCTCAAGAGGCAGTGACCGATTATTAGTCCCGTCACTTGTCTGATCTGACTTCTGTTTAGGCTCAGAATGTCGTTAGTCACTGTTCTGGACAGTGTTCCAGTCTTTTTTGCGTCCACCTTGCCAGCCAGCCTCGTATAGAGGTCTTGGGGATACCGATCACAGTTTCGGGCCCATAAACCACGCCGCAGTTTTGATCTTGTCTTGGTGTTTCAAGACCAAGACGACCAAGACTAGCTCAGTCTTGATCTTGGTCCTGATAGTCTTGGTCTTGGATCAAAATGCGTCTAGAAATTTGAATTATTCAATTCAAATATCCAACGATTTATATGCATATAATTGGTATTTCGTATTTCTTAGAAAATTTCCATTTACCATAAGAATATAATTTTTAAGAAACCTTAAATAAACATAAAATGAGACCCAAACAGCAAACAGGCCGACGCCCGACAGACCAGACAGACAAAGGTTCAAAAGGGGCGGAACTGACAACAACGCATTATCAAAGTATTTCAAAAAATTTCGAATTCAAACCAAATTACTTTTGTATTGAATTTTCAGTAGGAGGAGGTATGGACCACTTTGACCTTACAACATACACTCATTTGTTGTAAACTTTGAAACTGCAATACTGAATTCGAAAAATGTATTTCGGATTTTGAGTGAACAAAACTTAAAAACATACCATGTGACAAATGAATAACTGAAATAAAATGCCGTAACATTTTTCATCAGATTTTTCTTAATATTGAGTAGATTTGAGTTCATAATTTTTCTTTCAAGACCAAGACTTCTTGGTCTTGGCCTTGGCCTCGGAAGTCAAGTCCTGGTCTTGGTCAAGACAAGACAAAAAGAGGATGATCAAAGCTGAAAGACTATGAATTTCCTTGTTTTTTTCGTTACTGTTTTTTTTTCCTTCTTGTTCACTATAATATGACTGTTATTTCGAGATATCTCAATGATATGTAAGTTTTGTTCATTATTTGTGATTTTAATTATACAAAAGTCGATAATACTTCATGAATGATCTTATACCAGGGATTACTGTCTGATTATTCATGTCATTCCTACTAGAAAATTGATTATACTTTATATATTATTTGTATAAAATGTATCAATGAAGAAAATAATGTAATGCAATAACTGAAATGAAAGAATAAAAAAAATACATATATTTCAGATTCTCCTATTTTGCTGTCGTTTCCCCACTTCTATCTTGCCAATGATAGTTACAGGACGGCATTGGACGGTATTTCTCCGGCTGATCCAGAAAAACATACTTTCTTCATGGATATCCAACCAGTGAGTTCACTTTCATCTTCCGAAAGTATAATGAAAATTACGACATCCTTGAGAATCGATATTGGAAATGAATCAATTATTCGTTTTCACAAGATTTTTCAAGAACACCATGCGAAGAAAAAATATTTAATCACAATGTTCAATACACATTGGTGATGAACATTAATTTAGCGTTTTCATGTCAATAAGAAACTGTGAGAAAATGGTGAAAAAATACGTTGAATAAACGTTATATTTCAAATCAACAACAAACGTTCCGTTGATTTCAATTGATCGTTAAAAGATCCAGTGTTTCTTCGGTGTCACACTATTTTGTCATGTACCTAGTATATATTATTCTTCCATACTCTGAATGTTTTTCATCTAGATAATTTTTTCGTGGATTTTTTCCAATGATTGGTTGAGATCTCAAACTGAATGGTGACCACTGATTGGTCAGCTTAGACACGTGATTTGAAGCCAAAGTAGAGTAGTAGGGGGTGGCTATAACCTGGCTATACCTACTACTATGTACTAGGAATATCTATTTTATCGTTTTTTTAGGTAATGGGTGTAGCCATGAAGGCCAAAGCGAGGATACAAATCAACTTGGCCGTGTCTCAAGTGATTGATATCAAACAAGTTGCCACCTTTCCCGATATCATCTTCCCCATCATGTGGTTCGAGGAGGTAAGTTTGAAATTTTGGTATGCTAATGTTATACCAGGTCATGCGTTATGTATTTTCACTCAGCTCTGTGGTTATCAGCTCTGAAATTGTTTGGGAATGCTGGAAAAAACTGAACGAGCTAGCCAACATAAATACAGTCACCCATCTATGGGTTTCGGGATATTCCGGTGTAGCAAGAAATGAAGTGAGAGACAAACGAATTAGAAAAGAAGAAGCCGAAGAGAGATCAGAATCTGGAAAAATCATCAAGGTCTTAGACAGGCTAGTATACTACTGGGTACATACAACCACAAAAGATCGAACGGATATATCAGCCTGAGCAAAAAAAGGGACTATGAACCTCTGCTTAGGAGAGGAAGACGAATGCAGGTTCTGTGTGAAGAAGAAGGAAACTTCTATCCACATACTTATATGGAATTTCTTACCCTACAGAACCCAAGGGCAAGAAATTTCTGAGAGATATAGGACTAGAGGAATAGCTATAGCTGCGAAGAACAACCCAATCGGGTAGAGCAAACGAAGGATGCACAATAGATCTTCTAGATCGCATTGTATCAACCCCTTATGCACACAATACAAAATCGCAGAATATTTCACATCAGATATTATATTATGAGATATAATCACTGTGTATATTATAATAACGCGAAAGTTGGTTTAGCGAGTAATTATACCATATATGCAGACGATACAGTGCTTTTATATGGAGAAAAAATTTTGAAATTCATAGTCATCAAACTAGACAATATAACTTATTTCACCTTGATGCTGCTAGTTCTGCACTCGGACAAGAAAGATTCACTCATGCAGCCTTATCTGATGAGTTCAATAAACTACCATATGGAATCAAAAATTGCAGAATTATAGGTATATTTAAAAAGAAAGTGAAAGAACTGATCATTTCTGAGAGAAATGTTTAAAATTGATCAGTAAGTTATGTCCTTGACTATAATTCTTCTCTTCATTCATTGATTGTTTCGTTTTATTGTGATTTATTGTGATATCCTGATTTATTATGATTTATTATTCATGTTCACATCCACCCATGTTTGTGTAGTAGTTTATGTCCTTGACTATAATTCTTCTCTTCATTCATTGTTTTTTTTGTTGTATTGTGATTTATTGTGATATCCTGATTTATTATGATTTATTATTCATGTTCACATCTACCCATGTTTGTGTAGTAGTTCATATTTTACTCATTACTTATTATTTTATAATTATGTTCTTCCTCATACCAGAACTTGTTCTGACTGGAAGATATGTTTGATAAATGAATAAAGAAATAAAATAATTTCGATTATCAAATTGGTGTGAAAGACCTCGATTTGTATAATATACCAAGTGCCAAATCACATTATTTTTTTCAAGGGTTTGGACTCCCTGCCAGAAGAAATGACAGGTCTAATGAAACTGGCAACGACAGTACCTCCCGTAGCACGGACAGTAATCGCCGCCTGTTTGTTCGTCGTCGGCGCCATCTTGCTGATAATTGCCGTGTGGCGATTGGTCAGAGGCGCGAATCGGCTGAGCTCGCTGCACCTCGCGCCCGGTCACGTGGGTACGCCTGCCAAGGCCAAGGAATGAGCGTAGGAGAAGAGAAGAGGTGAAGTAGGAGAACGGAGAGGTTTCAGAAGTGCTGAGGAGTGTTGTTCGCGTAGCGGTTTCGAGGCGTTTGTCTTGGGGGAGTTGGTTGTTTTCGTTTACGATTTAATTATATCGCAAATTCTGATATTTCTATGAATGAAACTTAATTTTTCTTATCAAGAACTCTTCTTTCAGGAATAATATCGCGAAACTGCTTCAAAAATTCATAATATAGTCATGATACAAAGAATTATACGAGACATTACCATATACGGTTACTTCAACAGGTGTTTGGTTTGTGGACCTAACTTGTGGTATTTGCATTTCTTTGTATTGCGATGATTAATTATTATTTTTACTCAGGGTGTATCTGAATAACACCGGAAAAATTCAAGGGATGATTCTGTGATGGAAATTCAGGTGGGTATTTGTTTTTTTTTTGAAAAACCTCTCCTCGGAAAAGTTACACTAATCTATTTTTTTTTCTTTATTTCCCTTGTATATTGAGCTGAAGAAAAGAAACTCAGTATATATTATTTGTCAATGAAACCACAAATGGAATGTTCTCATCAACCCTGAACTATGCTCACAAGGGGTTGAAATATTCAACCATTGAGTTAATTTTTTGGATAAAAATTTTACTTTTGAAAAAACATGGAAAATGTTATAGTTTTCGATATAACTTTCAGAGATAAAGAGTTAGGAAATGAATTGTGTAAATTTACAGCTATATTTTTTTGAAAGAAAAATTTCTATTCGTATGAGGTTATAAGAAAAAATATCTCAGCGGTTGAATATTCCAATCTCTTCTAAGCATACTTCAGGGTTGAAAACAATTCAAAATATGTAGTTTTATTGACAAATAATATTCAACAAGTTTCATGTACTTTTAGCCCAATTTACAAGAAGAATGGGAAAATGAAAAACCATTTTTTTTATCTTCGGAGAGGTGTAACTCTTACAGAGGGGAAAGTTTTTCAAAAAAAATTATACCATATACCCACCTTCATTTCCATCACAGAATCACCCCTTGAATTTTTCGGTGTTATTTAGGATTCTGAAAACCTTCTTGTTCTTTTATACAGGGTGTCCCACGGTCGATGGTACCTTAGACGTATACGGAAAACGGTACATTGGATTATCCTGAAAATTTGGTTACTCTAATAAGCGTTTGTGATCTAACGACTCAAAATATTTTTAGCGATGCAGCGTTGCCACTTTTACCAAAAAGTAGCATCATCTTTGTTATTTCAAATGGAACACCCTGTATATCATTGCGTTTTTAGATTCTTCTCGAAGAGCTGATATCATCAATGCATCACACTTGGGGTCTATCAGGAATTATTACAGAGATATAGGGTGTTCAAAATCGAGATTTTTCAACTTCAGGAATTTTTTGTGTCGAAACTATTCATTATCGATCAAAACGGCCCTCAAGTCCCTATCTCAACTTTTGTTTCACTATCTACTGACATTTAATTGGAACAGATACAGGGTGATCAAAATTCTGTATCTTGGACCATCCTGTATTTTTTCCAATTAAATGTCGGTAGATAGTTAATCAAAAGTTAATATAGGGACATGTAAGCCGTTTTCACCAATGATGAATAGTTTCGACACAAAAAAATCCTAAAGTTGAAAAATCTCGATTTTGAACACCCTATATCTCTGTAATAATTCATGCTAGACCCCAAGTGTGATACATTGCTGAAATCAGCTCTTCAGCGAGAATTTATGAATGCAATGGAATACAGGGTGTTCCATTTGAAATAACAAAGATGATGCTACTTTTTGGTAAAAGTGGCAACGCTGCTTCGATGAAAATATTTTGAATCGTTAGATCACAAACGCTTATTAGAGTAACCAAATTTTCAGGATAATCCAATGTACCGTTTTCCGTATACGTCTAAGGTACCATCGACCGTGGGCCACCCTGTATGTTTGTAGACAACGAACTTTCTTTTTGGATATTGTGTGTGATAACTATTAGGGCAATACTATTCCAATTCGAATATAAAACTACGTACAAAATGATTTGTTTTCCTATAGTTTCCAAAAATGTCTCTCTATATATAGTAATAATTGATGCAATCATTTTATTTGAATGTTTTCTGAGGTTCCTAACGGACTTCATACATTTTTTCATGTCCCTATTCTTTTGACTAGTTTTCTTCAATAAATCTATTGAAGAAACATACGAATTGAGAGTGACTGATAGCAATTTTTTTGTTTCTTATGGAAGGAAAGAATCTTGTTCGATTTCCTCATGATTGTTGCTGTAGAGTCTCCCAAAAAATTTATTCCGTCCAATGAGTAATGAAGTTATGCAAAGAATTACATACATCATGAACAAAAACAAAAATGAGCCTCATGTTCCGAAATTTCTATTTGAATTTGATGACTAATTTCTGCTCATGTCTTGAATAATTTAAATATTTAAATATCTTAGTTGTACAGAAAATTTGCAAGAATGTCTGGTGCTGTGTATAAATATAGGTATATAAACTAACCTTTTTCTTTTATCATTACAATATTTTTGAACATTCAGTGTTTATAAGAGCAAAGGCTTAGAAGGAGGGTGAATTGTATCGTTTTCTAAAAATTGTATTAGTTGAAAACCATTGACATAGTGATTTTATGTTGCCAATCTATTTTTTTTTCTTGACCTAATAAAGACATTTTGTAATTGACAATTTCTTGTTGAATCCTCGTTTTTTGTATGATATTTGGACGATATGGTAGAAGTTTTAAGTTGATGATGTTTTTATGGGTTGAATGTAATAATTGTATATTGTTTATGTAGAAATAAAGTTTTCAACACAATCTCCTCTTTCATTGAATATACTCAGTAGAACTATACACAAAGCAAGTTGATTTGAAAATTTTTTGGAGATATATAGTTGATGCTCAGAGCACTGAGTATGTATTTTGTTTATCAGTTTTCTTTAACTAGTCCAGTCACTTTTGTCAAATTCCATTTAATTTGTTCCATCATTTCTGAACAGCGAACAAAAATGTGTTCTTTATGTGAACTTTGAACTCTTCTCACGGACAAACGGTACATTTTGGTATATAAATGAATTGGGTCCAATCAACTTATTTTTACCTCCACTACGAGTGGTAGGTCTGTGTCCCAGCAATTTTGGGATACCCTGTATATAATCTAGAACTGAAGTTATGTGAGGGATTTCAGCATAATCGACAATAAAAAATCACTAGATCCAAAAACTCTTTGGGAGTTGGTTTCCCGAAACCAGCCCGAAACTAAGTCATTGTGAAAGGATCCAAATCGAACAAGAGGATGTTTCAGTAATATAAATCAAAATTTCAGTCATAAAATAGTGATGCAACCAGGGAAACCTAACGATATTGTTGATAAAAAGGGTGTGCTAGAGCGATGGAAGGAGTTGGAGGAAGAAATAAAGAGGATTCAAAAATCTTTGAGTGTCCAAGAAATGGGAATAGTGAATGATGAGAAAAGTGACAAAACAGAGGAAGTTTCCGAAGAAACAAAATTATTACAGAAACCTGAGCAATACTTGCTAACGGATTTGAAACATTTCATATTGGAATGATTTCAGAAAATTGCTAGATCTGTTCATCACACTCTTCATGAAGTTTGTACTCAGAAAATAGTGATATACAAATCCTACAAGTTCGTTATTTATATTATCTAACGGTAAAAATTAATATATTCAATTGGATAATCAAATTGAAAGGTATACACTGTAAGTCGAAGCTCAGAGTATTGGACTATAGAAAAGTCTGAAAGTTTGATGTTCTTCTTCAATATTCATATGTCCAGAAATGGACATACAATGATTCCATCTCTGCCTTATAGAATCTCCGAGAATAGATTTACCTAACCTAACCTGATATGTTTTATCGTTTTTTTATTTTAACGAAAAGAATGATACTTCTTTATCTGGATACAATCAAATTATAATGTCCATATCTTCCTTATTAATTATCAATCACAAATAATACAATTTACGAACATTTTCAGCCCCCTCTAGATTCCTTCATGAAACAATTTGAATCCGATTTGAGTATAGCAAGGAATTTCTATCGAACTTGGCAACAATGCGCTACCGCTTGTTTCGAATCTCCGCGCGTCCCACACATTCTGGTATATTGACGGTCTGTCGATATACGGTCATGAACTTTTACTGGTCTGTCAATGTACGATTCTGCCATTTTACGGTTCTGCTATTTCACGAGTCTCAATCCGAAAAATTCTGGAAATTTACGGGTCCGGTAGCTGCACGATTCTGCCATTGTACGAGTCTGTCATTTTACGATTCTGCTGTTTTACGGGTCTGTAGTTTTACGGTTTTGATGAATTATGGATCAGAAATTTCGGTAGTCCGATGGATTATGAGTCTGTCGATGTACGGGTCTTGCGTTTCACGGATCTAGAGTATTGACAGTCTGTGCTTTTAGGAGTCTGTCATTGTACGGGTATAAAATATCGACAGTCTGTCTTTTTACGGGTATGAACTATTCGCATTCTGCCATTTTCAGATTCTGTACATCACAATTCTGTCAGTTTGATGATCGGGAATGTTCATTCTAATGAAATGATGGTCTACAGAGTACGGGTCGCTAAATTACAGTCTGTGCTTTTACGGTTCTCTGACATTACGATTATATATTTTTATGATTCTGACGACATGAAGAGTATTTTATTTACTGGTTTGGCAAGGTACACTTCTGAATTTATGGCAGTCTTTCGATATACTATTGTGATTTATGCATTCTGACATGATACAGTCTATCAAAGTACGGTTCGAAAAATTACGGGTTGTACATATTGCAGTCGCTGAAATATGATTCTGATGATTTGCTATTCTGATTTTCTACTATTCTAGTCGAATAAATTCCTACTAATCGACGCGAACCAACAAACGGACTGTCGGTTCTGTTGTGTGGAAGACGAAACGGCTGAACACATATTATGTTCATCCTCTAGCTTAGAAAGACTAAGGTTCGACACATTTGGCTTTACCAACCTAGAACCTATCGATTTCAGACAAATCTCACCCAATTCAACCATGAACTTTGTAAAAAGATGTGGATTGTACGGTGAACTGTAACCTCTAGGGGTGAGCCACAATAGACCCATCTGGGGTCGCAGTGGAGGGGAGGTGTTCGCCCCACTCACATGGAACCTAACCTAACCTAACCTACTAATCGACGCGGTCTGTGTCGATACGTTCTGATGATGTATATGGACCCACATTCAAACAAGTACATGGTGGTTCAAGATTCAAAATCCTGATAATGAATAGTTTCGACACAAACATTTTTCTGTAATCATTCCAGCGTAGCCTCGTGGTTAGAGCGTCAATGTTCTATCCACGTTGGATCACCGGTAGTGGGTTCGATTCCCACATAAATTTTTCTGATGGCCATTAAGAAAGTGTTTGTGATCACATGTTAAAAGGTGAGACCCCCGTCATTCCTTGCTCGCACAAGTCTCTTGAAGACTTCTGAGGTTTGCTCGTAAGGGGGCAACTCCGAATGATGGATAAGAACAATTTTTGAACTAAATTCCCGCTGGAGCCCAAGTGTGGTACATTGTAGGAATTGAAGATGCAATAAATACAGAGTGTTCCATTTAGGTGGCCAGGTAGCCGTGCGGACAGAGTGTCCATATTCTAATCCGCATTCGCTTGCCGGTCGTGGGTTCGAGTCCCGTCGACTGCAGAAATTTTTCTGATGGCCCAAGAAAGTAAGAGGTAAGGCCCCCGTCATTCCTTGCTCGCACAAGACTCTCGAAGACTTCTGAGGGTTGCTCGTAAGGGGGCAACCGAATGACGGATAGAACAATTTTAGAACAATTTTTTGAAAGAGAAATTCTCCAAACCACGTGAATCTGCTAGCCAATCGGAGGCCAGCATTTGGTTGGAGGCCACGCCTACTAACCGCAATCTACATCCAGCTACAACGAGCGAGCTGACCGCAAGCTGCCGATAAGAATGGATATAACACAACTACAATAACAAGATGAAGTATGATATACAGAGTGGATCCGAAAAACCTGGTTCAGAGAAAAAATTGAGAATATACAGGGTGTCTCATTACAGCCAACGTATGACGAATGACATATGACATTCGACAGATGATAGCTCACATATGATAGATAATATAAGCCGTTAATGATACTTCCGGTGCTCATTGAAGCTTAACGCTATGGTTCAGCTAACGTTTGACGTATGACATTCAACAACTGACGTATACCACGTAACCTTCCGGTACTCGTCGAAAGCAGGCACTCAAGCCGTCGAAATGGCTAACGGTTCAAAATGACGCTCAAATAACGATACGAATGATGTGTGACAGATGACGTATACCACGTGACCTTCTGGTGCTCGTTGAAAGCAGACACTCAGGGTCGCCATAACCTACGAATTTGAACCAAAATGGCTATCGATTCGGAATGGCACTCAACTGACGATACGTATGATGTTTCACAGATGACGTATGCCACGTGACCTTCTGGTGCTTGTCGGAAGAAACACTAAGGGTCGACACAACCTACGAGTTTCAATCAAAATGGCTATCGATTCAAAATGGCGCTCAACAGATATCATGTGAGACGTTTGGCCTATTATTTATTGTTTCACCAATAGCAAACGCCCATATTCAGCGCAGTCAATAGTTGCGTTTTATTTATCCGATTCCGCCACCGGAATCAGTATAATGTGTTGTTTTATTTGCAACTTTTACGATTCTGGTTGCTACTTTTCATTCCTTCTCCCTACAAGGAATGACTAAGAATGACCGTTGACAGGTGTCAAAAAATCAAATTGACGAAAAACGAAACTTTCTGAAAGTAAAAGACATTTGAAAGACATTTGCCTTGTTTCACTAGTTCATGATTCTTTCAAGTAAGACAGGTTTCATAATATGTTCATTCCAAGAAAAAATATACTTCCGGTACCATTAACCTCGGCTAAACAGATATTAAGGTTCGACATAGCATACGAATTTCAATCAAAATGGCTACCGATTCAAAATAGCTACCAATTCAAAATTTCGCTTAACTGACGATACATATCATGTTTGACAAATGACGTATGCCACGTGACCTTCCAACTCAGGTCTGACATTACCTATGAATTTCAATAAAATGGCCATCGATTCAAAATGGCGCTCAAATTAGGTGAAACAGTCGCGATTACGATTTCCTGTCTCGACGATATATTTCCGCGGTGTGTGATTAAAGTTCAAATAACAATATTTCTCTCTATAGGAGTATTATTTCAATCTTCTTGCATGGAAAAACTAGATACTGGAGCGGCCATTACTGCATAGATGGACGCTACTCGCTCATTTCTGGATATAGCTGTTTTTCAATGATATTGGTAAGTTTCTTAGTTTTCTGCTTTTCAGCCGAAAAAGGCATCAGTCTTGGATAGGTAGATATTATTCGAAAGGACACGAAAAACTATATAGTTATTAAAATGCATTGATTCTCAGCAGCAGTTTCATTTCAGTACATCAACATTATTGTACTCATAGGTACATGTCTGAATTACAGAAAATCATTGAACTGAGTTGAGCAATTTCAAAAATGTTTAGCATGAATTTTAGGGAACAAAAACAACAGTGGCCAGTTCAGAACATCACCAATAATAAGCGAAAATTTTCGAGAAATCTGTGTATAATAATAACTTGATGTACAAGGCGTTTCGTAAAACATTAGGATTTTCTTTTTTATATTCTTCTAGAGTTCCGCTAACAACAGAAATGTCATTTTATTTAAATACAAGGTGTTTCGTTAATCATTTGGATTTCCTGTTTTATAATTTCCTA